CAAATTTGACACATGGAAAACCAAAGCCAAAACCAAAAACAACCCAAAACCTACAGTTTCAAGAAGCTGGGTGAATCTCAAACAAAATATATCAAAGAAGCCCACAGCAAGATTCATGATAACAAAACTGAAGACAAAGAAAAAAAGTTGTGAAAGGGGCCTTTTACCCACAAGGGGTGAAACCATCCAAATGACAGCAGATTTCTTATCGCAAACTATGGAGGCCGGAAGAAATTGGCATGACGTTCATCAAGTTGTGGAAGAGATGTCATCCCAGAGTTGTGCATCCAGGAAAAAGTCCTTCAGGAGTCCAAGTGAAGGAAAGTGATGGGAGGAGAAGAGGCTTTGTCACCAACAGACTTACCCTAAGAAATGGCCCCAAAGTAGTTCTCTAAACGGAAAAGAAAACAAGAAGACAAATACTAGGTCATCAGGAAGGAAGGACGAATAATGAGAAGAGTAGAAACATAGGCAAATACAAAACATGGTCCTTTTTCTCTTGAGTTTTCTAAATTCTGGGTGATTTAGAGCAAAAACTGCATCACTGTGGTTCTCAAGAAAAAACCTGCACGTGATGTGCCCTGCCCTGCATTTCTTCTAGGCAACAGTGCTCTGCATAATAAGGAAATTGTAAAAACAGTAACAACTTTTTTAAAAAGTGGGGGACACGGAGAGTCCCAAGATGCAGTCACCTTCCCCATAAGTATTCCCAATGAAAGTGTTTGTGGAAAAGCACTGATAACTCAGGAAACCAGAATTTCCAACCATCCATCTGTCAGGGCAAAAGAAATGCATGGATAAAGTCTAGAACACAATAGCAGGGCTGTAAGGGAGAAGGACATGGGGGGGTGGGCACCCACCATCACAGCACCAGCTGCCCCCACACCTGGGCCGGGTCCACGTGGAGCCTTGCAGTCGGTCCAGACAAGACCTTGAGTTCTCTCCTGCCCTCTTCTCAACCCCCTCCCTCCCCAACTGTCTCCAAGCGTGCATTTCTAGTGTACTTTGCCCATATAACAATCCACAGCCTCACGAGGACTCCTGAACTGGATAGCTTTTTAAAAATGTGTTTCTGACAATAAACTTTACAACCAAGAATAGATTCAAAAGGAAAGCCAAACGGGCATAAAGAAAACTAGAGGGGGGAGGGATAAGAAAGGATCTTCACATTGGAGAGCCATGGACCCGGAACATCCTTACCCCCGGATGTTTGCCCTACGTTGAACTCTTTATGGCAAGTTATAGCCAAGCACATCCAGAAATGAGTTTCATTCATTGCAGTAAGAACAGGCAAACAAGTTCATCACCAAGGCAGTAAAAATCTGGTTTCTGTGCTTAATGTCAAAAACAAGTTGACATTGCTTGCTTGGTCTGAATATTGAGGAAATGTGAAATCTCTTTACACTTCTATAATGAGATTTCCTATTGCTAATCTATAATTAGTCCAACAGAGCTTTAATTTCCTCCTAATAGGGACATTAAGAATTTACCAGGTTATGGAGAGTTCAAACATGGTCAGGCTTTCAATCAAGAATTCCTAATTCAAATCCTGTCCTCTGCTGACTAACAGGCACTAATGGGGATCATTACATCTTTGCAAACCAGGACAGAATGGTTTGGGGTAATCGGCTTATCCCTTGCCATCTGGCCAGAATGCCTGCAGCTGGCTCTGGGCTGCAGACAGGCTTGGCTGGATGGTAAGTCGCGCAGGAAAAAGCCCTGGCTGGAGGCTCCTGGTTGGCTTTATGGGGGAGCAGCAGAGTTCGCCAGTGAAAAAACAGAACCCAGAAGCAGTTCTGGTGCCAATCAGTCTGGCCGGAAGGTACCAGCCTCCTCTTCCTCATCCTCCACACACCCCTACCTTTTCGGGTCCCTCCAACAGCACAGTCACTAACATCTGTTGTGTTAGGCTCCATGGGGCATGGCATCTTCCCTTCTCCATCTCATTAGGCCAGTCCAACCTGGGAAATGGGAAGGGCTGCGTGTTTATGGGCAGGGAAACTGAGGCAGAAGCACATAAAGACACACCTGGGAGGACACCAGATTTTCACCAATGGATGATGCTGTCTGTGCCTTGACTCTTTCTTCTTGTTTGAATCTTGGCTAAACCATCTCTCAATGTTGACTGTTGACATAACGCCTGCATATAATTTAGTCATGTCGGAGGGCCCACATCAGGACAGGCTTCCCTCCACTGGCTTAATCCAAGTTCCAGAGGGAGACAGTTCAGAAGAGGCATGTTTTCCCAGAATCCTCTGTGAACCTGAACATGTGAGTGTTTCTAAGGGAGCCTTCAATGAGCATGGACGGCAGGGGCTCCTACCTGTCTTTCTGCACACACAGCATGTTTTGCTGAGTGAAGGCAGATCCATAGCAGAGTCATCATCCAGGAGGGGTTGGTAGAAGTGGATTCACTGTAGAATGGAGAGTCTTTCCCTTTCTGCCTAGTGGGTCTGAGGGAGAACCCTTGACCCATCAGGTCTTCTGGTAATGATTTGCTGAACAAACAAAAATGGCTCTGGGTTTTTCCAGGAAAAACAGAACCAATAGGATATAGATATAGGTATAGATATGGAGACAGAGATAGAGATAGAGATAGAGATAGAGATAGAGATAGAGATAGAGATAGAGATAGAGTGGGGGTACAGATATTCATTTGGGGGAATATAATTGTGGAAGTAAAGACTGGGAAGTCTAAAATCTGCAGGGCAGGCCAGCAAGCCAGAGACCCAGGGAGAGTCAGGGGGTGCAGTTTAGGTGGGAAGATGTCTGGAAGCAGAATTCCCTTGTGCTCAAGGAAAGTCAATCTTTTTCTCTTAAGTCCTTCAACTGACTGGATGAGGCCCACCCACACTGTGGAGTGCAATCTGTTTTACTCCAAAGCCCACTGATGTAAATGCTAATATTATCACAGAAAGTACCTTCAGAGCAACTTTTAGAATGATGTTTGACAAAATATCGGGTACCAGGGCCCATGAAATTAACAATCACACTCTCCCATAGGACACAAACGGGTCTGGCAGTGACATCAAGGGTCAGGCTCTAAGCGATTCAGGGCTTTGGGGTCCTTCAAGGGCAACCCTGTTCTTGAAGCTCCTCATTTGTGGTGCTTTCTTTGAGGCAGTTTGTGGACATTCTGCAGAGGAGGCTGGAAAGGGGTGCTGGCAGTGTGGGCCTCACAGGGCTTGTCCGGTTCCCGAGGATGGGCAGCCCAGCTTCCCATGAGTACCACGGAGGCTGTGAGTATCCCACCCACCTGCAGATTGTCCTCCTGCCCCAGGCTGACTGTCCACCCCTGCTTCCTCCCAACAGAAATCCCAGAACCCGAACATCTGGGCGATGCCAGGCTCTGGAGTCAGGTTCAGGATCCCCTGGAGCCCTCTGGGTATTAGCCCGAGCCACCAGGGATCCCCTGGAGCCCTCTGGGGTTAGCCCGAGCCATCCATGATCAGCCCCAGACCGTCCCTGCAGATGCCGACTCGTCTCTTCCCCTGCACATTTGCGCTTTGTACCAGGCACTAGGCTCCCCTTCGCTTCTTCAGGGAAGTCATTTGAAGTCATCGTGGGGTAGACCTGGGACCTGAGTCCTGTGCCTTCCACAGGCAAATGCGTCCTTTGCGTCTGTCACAAGGTCAAAGGAAGAGTAGAAAGGGAGGGCTTGGGGGGCATTTTCTTCCATCGGCAGAGCCTTGCTTGTGTCAACGTTTCAGATTACATGTGATCCAAGCTGACTTGAAGGAATCCTGTTGACGTCATCTCTGGATGCTTTGAAGAGCATTCTGTCACAGGACCGGGGTGGGCCGTACTGGAGGGGGGTCCAGGGGCTTTTAAACCATTGGGCTCTGCTGGCCTCCTACACTGGACTTGACCAGCTGCCCCGGGGACCAAGGCGGTTTGGATGCTCGAAGCTCTTTGTGTGGGGTGGGCGGCGGGTAAGTCATCTCACACAACCCTGACCGCACCTACCTCCGGGCTGTTCCACCTGCCCTGGGTCTCCCCTCCTTTCCCCTCTCCTGAGCCCTGAGCAGCGGCAGGTCACACCCCAAAGAGAAAACCCCATGCTGCGCCATTAGGAGCACAGCCTTCTCCAACCCCCGTGCTCTGGGTGGACACACCTTGTCTTGTAGGGATCAGAGTATCACCTCCCCCTGGGGTGCAGAGTCCCTGAGACCCAGACGGAGAAGCCCGAGTGGCCTCTGTGTGGCTGGCCCGTGGGACCAACAGAAAAGCACCCACAGGGGCCTGAAGGGCAAGAGAGTCTCACCCCTGGGAGGGTCCGGCCATGCCAGGGCTTTCCCGCCCCCTCCGCCATGGATGGTGCAGACAAGGCCACCTGTGTCCGTCCAGGATTCACCAGCCAAAGCCAAGTTCATGGGTTTCACACACATGAGGAGTCACATGGTGGCTTCGAGTCAGGGGGCTCTCCTGTCTCGGGGGCACAAGGTGACCACAGAGATGACCTACGTGAAGCCAAGAGGACAATGTCCCATTTGGGAAAATGCCAAGCAGGCCCCTGAGCCAGCTCACTGGCAGTGTTCAGCCTTTGCCAGACCAATCTCCTGCACTGAACGCGTCCCACCACAGCAGCAGCGGGGAGGTGCGGGCCGGAGGCAAAACTTCGTGGAAACCCTTAATCCATCCCTTGTCCAAATTCTGGGGTAAAGATCCTTCTAGCTTTGCAACTCGGGGTCAAGTTCCCGAAGCCCTGAGTGAGAGAGGCGGTGGGGGAGCAGCGCCCCCTCCCTCCCCAGAACCAGCGTGCACGAGAGAGGCCAAGGGCAGCGGGGGCGGGGGTGCAGGCAGGGGGCGCACAGAGACAGGACATAGGAGTGAGGCCTGGCCAAGGAGGAGGGGCGCAGCCTCGAGCCCCAAGGAGAAGTCGAAGGTGCCCAGGAGATGTGATGGTTTCCCCCATCCTGCCCAAACCACCATGACGCAAGAGAACGTCTGCTCTAAGTTCGGGTCAACACAGCATGTGCCCTCTGCCTGTCCATCCCCAGAGGTCCCCCCAAGCCCCAGCATGATGATCTGCAGACGGAGACCCTCTCCGTGGCCAGGCTAGCCCAGGGCCCTCGGAGAACACGGGGGACGAAGCTGCGGTGGGTGGACGGGAGCAGGGAAGCTCCTGCCGCCGCGAGAAGCGGAGATCAGTGGGGTCACCCTTTACCTGCTCTCGGTTCCTCTTGCCTTCGGGGGCGGGGGGCCCATAAACTCTGTCTGTGCCTCAACAGCTCATCCGGGACCCGGCGGGCTGCCTCTCGCTCGGCCCTACCCCACGCCAGGCCTCACCACGCCCCTCTCCGACCACTCATCACCCCGGTCGGGGCTGAGCGCCTCCCGTGCGCCAGGCCTGGGACAGGACGGCGCCATGAGCAGGACCCAGGGCTGTGCACGGTCACTCAGGCCGCAGACACGCTGTCTTCACGAATCCCAGCGAGCTGGGTGGTAGCGAGGGGAGTGTGGGGAGGGCTGAGCACCTTTCCCCAGACACACGGAGATACACACCGGGGTTCTCAGGTGGGGCCCATGCGGTCTCGCGTGTAAGAGAGATCAAGTTCAGCCGTTACAGCAGCAGAATGTCGCCCTGCCTGCCAGACACGCCTGCTGGTGAGGCCCAGGGTCACGGTGCAGGGGCGGCTTGGAGCCCCGGGGCCCTGACCTCCCGAGGGAGGCCGGGAGGCTCCGGCAAGGTGACAGGCAGAGAGGCCAGGACCCTGCCTAACGGGGGGTCGGCCGCCAGCTCTCCGAAGCCCCGTCTTGGCCACCATGACCATTGAGTGGGGAGAGGAGACAGTGAGAGCTCTCGGTCCAGATGGGGGGCCGGCTCGTGGGGGACGCCCAGGACAGAGGCCGCACACCGAGCCCCACGCCAGCCCCAGCGCTCCGTGTGGATATCGAGGCTGGGCTGGGCGGCCGCACTCTTCGTCTCCCCATAAACGCAGCGCGGGGCGGGAGAAAAGAATTCCTGATTGCTTGGACCCGTATTTAAGTATTTTGATTTATTAACACTGAGTACCCAGAGCCGTCCCCTGAACGTGACAGCCCTCTGTCCCCAGCGAGTCTGGGAGTCTGGCTGGCCTCCTGCCGCCGTCCGCACGATCCTTTTCATTCCTGTCACGTGATTATCCACCGTGGCCGGGCTGGGGGGAGCAGGGCGGGCATGCAAAGTTCACCGCGAGTTCAAGGGCTGCCCACGAGGCCTGGGGAGCGGCCTTGAGAGTTGGAGAACAGCCTACGGGCTGGAGGAGGGGGGCCCTGAGGGTCTGAGGGTCTCCAGGGGCCTCGGCCCGATGGGCAGAAGTTGGGGACTGAGGGGGGCACTGACAGAGGGCGGGCTGGCTCTGCTTCTGCACCTCCTTCTCTCCTCTACACCTTTCTCCGCTGCTCCTGCTGCCCCCCTGTTCCCTCCTCCCTCCCCTCCCCTCCCCCCTCCCTCCGCCTCTGCTCCCCCTCCTTTTTCTCCTTCTCATGCTCCCCCCCGCCTCCTCCTCCTCCGGGGCTGGTCCAGGTCCACGTGGAGAGCAGGTGCCCCACGAGGCCCCCTCGTCACACGTCCCGGTGCTTGCGTCTCACCCAGGCGAGCTCTGCCCCCTTGTCTCAGACACGGGAAGCCCAGAAGGTATGTTCCGGCTCCAGCAGGGGTAACCTGTGGGACATTAATCCCTGTGGCGTCAGAGGCTCTGAGCCCCAGGTTGCGACAGTCAGACTGAGACACAGAGGGCGGGTCCTCGCCTGGCCGTATAGATGACGCGGCGATCCAAGATGTCAACAGTTTCTCAGGCAAATACACCATCAAACACCTGGGGGGCTCAGTCGGTGAAGCGTCTGTCTTCGGCTCAGGTCATGATCCCAGGGTCCTGGGATCAAGTCCAGCATCGGGATCCCTGCTCAGGGGGGAGCCTGCTTCCCCCTCTTCCTCTGCCCCTCCCCCTGCTTGTGCTCTCTCTCTCTTTCTCTCAAATAAACAAATAAAATCTTAAAAAAAAAACCAAACAACCATAAAACGCTTCAGACATGCACAAGGACCTGGAACCTGCCCCACGCAGCCCCTTCGTGCCTCGAGATGGCTACCGTGGGGCTTAGGCAAAGTCGTGCTTGGTGACCTGGGGCTCCTGGGACAGTGGTCATGTGCCCATTGGGCTCAGGCCATGTGGCAGTCCCCTAACGTGAATGCAGAGGACAAGTGACTCGGTAGCAAGGGGGCTTCCAGGAACCAACGCGTGGCACTGCGTCTGCTCTCTCCATCCCGACAAGCATTTGCAGGACTGGGAGGAAACCAGGTAAGTGGCCTCCCCCACACCAACCCCTGTGCCCCCAGAGCTGTCATGCTTCAGCGCCCAGTGGACACGGCCCCAAACGCTGAGAAAGAGCCTCTGCTCTTGGGCTCTCGTGTGGGGATCATCTGCTCTCCGCTCCACGCGGGGCTGGGGAGCTCTCCTTGCCACCGCTCTGCACGTCCGCCTTTGTCGCCCATTTCACAGCTGGGAAAACTAAGACTCGCAAGCCCGCCCCGTGTCATGGAGCCCACAGCGGTGGCACAGAAGCTACATCTGTCCCCCCCGTTTCACCATCTCCCACACTCTGGGAGTCTCCCTCCTGTTTCGGTAGAATCAACAGGTGTTCTGTTTGGTTCGTCTGGGAGACTCGGGCCCTCCAGCCCTGGCATGAGGCACCTGGAAGGAGAGCCCACGCCGGGTAGCCAGGGAGGGGAAGGGAGCCGTGCCTGGCTCCAAGCTGGACGAGTACCCCTGCCCACAGGGCCGCCCTGCCCGCTGTTCCCGGCGTGCACCTGTCTTCCCAGAAGATGGGCCAATCTGCAGCATTTCTTCGGAAACAGAAACTCACATCATGGGGGCTTTTCGGGCTGGTGTAAGGCTCCCGACTTCTGAGGAAGGAGCGTGAGCATCCAGAGCTGACGGGCTGATGCACGTGTCCACCGCTCACGCCTCACACTGTCCTAGAAGTCGTGGCGGACGCGGACCATGAGATCAGAGGAAGCCAGACATTGAAGGCAGGGAACCAAACATTGGCTTCCTGTGCAGAGAATGTGGCGGTCCCCAGCAAACATGTCAGAGAACCAGGTAAAGGTTAATGGACCAAAAGCTTTTCCAGTTTTCAACCATCATCAGCAAGAGAACGTCATTTTTTTTTTTTTTATAAAGTGTTCTGTTCATGGGATGCCTGGCTGGCTGCCTCGGTACAGCACACGACTCCGGATCTCAGGGTCGTGAGTTCGAGCCCCACCACACTGGGTGTGGAGACTGAAAAATAAAAGGGGTGTCTGGTGGTTCCGTTGGTTAAGCACCTAACTCTTTTTTTTTTTTTAAGATTTTATTTATTTATTTGACAGAGAGAGACATAGTGAGAGAGAAAACACAAGCAGGCGGAGTGGGAGAGGGGGAAGCAGGCTTCCCGCTGAGCAGGGAGCCCGATGCGGGGCTGGATCCCAGGACCCTGGGATCACAACCTGAGCCAAAGTCAGACGCCCAATGACTAAGCCACCCAGGTGCCCCAAGCGCCTGACTCTTGATTTCAGCTCAGGTCATGATCTCAGGGTCCTGGGGTCCAGCCCCGCGTCAGGCTCCCTGCTCAGCGGGGAGTCAGCTTGAGACTCTCTCCCTCTGCCCCTCCCCCCATTCCCACTCTCTCTCAAATCAAAAATAGATCTTTTAAAACGTCTTTTAAAAATAAAATCTTAAAAAAACATATTCATTGATAAGAAGCAACATATAAAACACTCTAGATTAAAGTAAGGTCTGCAGGACATCAGGAAGGAGAATGAGGAAGCGAAGACGGTGATACCGTAACATGGGCTTTTAAAGACTCAGCCCTGCCAAAGAGGCCGGACAACAGCGGTCCCAGCGTTGGGACCAGCTCCGTTCTTGACCGCGGGTCCGCGGGACCACAGTGGGCGCAGAACGATCGACGGTGGCCACGGTTCAGGACAATTTCATTTACTGAAAATGTCTGAGGGACCTCGTTGGCCAACCTCGGCTGCGAAAGCGTCTCTTTCTTCCTCTAGCACAAAATAACCACCATGCGCATTCTACGACTTCTAAACCCTTCCCTCTCTGGAGATACTCCCTGCAGAGAAATTCTTGGAATTTAGATCCATGGGCCAAGGAGGACAGGATGCATTCCAGGTTTGGGCCGCACCTCACCACGCTGCACCTGACCAGTTATCCATGTGGGTGACTGTCCCACCCTAAATGTCACCAGCATTAGAGAAATCTTAACAAATTTAAGTTACTCCGTCTGCAATAGATTTTCTGCCATAACTATAGAGGGGTAGAAGGGAAACCCTTTTTTTTCTTTTTTGTATTTTTCGGAATTATCAGGGTTCTCCACCAAAACGGAAGTGGAAACCCTTTAAAGAGAAAGGGTGCTTTGGCGATCCTCGGCTGTGCACATCATCTATTTTGGGGCCCTCCATCTCAAACATCTGAGGTCTCGTGCTATTTAAAGATGATCTTTTTATGTTTACTTTAAAGGATCTACTTTGAAGATGTTAATTTAGCCAAGATGGGGCAGCGTTGTGGTTTCACGGCTCTGAGGTTTATGAACATAATTGAAGTCAGGCCTCGCGTGGAGGCTCCTGGATGCTTCCAGGGTGCTGGGTGGGACTTGGGGTCCACAGCCTGCCCCTCCTGGCCACCCTTGACCCTGTGCTACCGCCACCGAGGCCCTGCTCCCGCGGGGGGAGCGGGGGGACCGCCTATGGGGCTCGCCCGCCATCGTGAGGCCGTTCACAGCTGCCTGCGTTTCATAAGGTGCATTTTGATTGTCTTGAACTTACTGTGAAATGTAATTACTTGCATTTTATATGGAGGCAAATCCGGGGGGATGAAGGACAGCGTCGGTGTTTGGCTCGTCTGTGTCGAGGGAGCGGCCCCTGGAAAGGCACCATTGCCCCAGATGAAGTCAGGAAGTGACTCAGAGTGGGCGTCTGGCTATCTACATGGCTCATGTTTTCCTGAAACAAAAGCGAGCAGGGGCTAGAGCTCGGCGCTTGTGCAGTAAACCTCCCCTGTGGGACGCCCCTGGGGAGATGGACACCCCGACCACTGAGGGCCGCCATCAGCAGGCCAAGTGCACGCCCCCTGCCCCCCTTCCCAGAGCCTCTGCCTCAAGCCCTGAACCGCCAACCCCAACGGGGCATGCTAACACTTCACAAGGCCCAGGAGGGAGGCTCTGTTCCTGACCGGTCCCCTTGCCCTGAGGAAACTGAGGCACAGGGCCCAGTTCGCACTGCCAGGGGTGCCAGGCAGTGAATTGGGCCGTAGCCCTGTGTGCCCCCACCGACCTGCACCACAGCCTTCTCCTGACTCCCACCCTTCCCCTAGCTTCCAACCGCCTGATCCTGGTCTCCTTGGAGCCCGAAAGGCGCACCATCCAGTCGTCTCTGAATTAGGCTTGGAGAAGGTGAAGACGTCCCCTCCTCGGGAAGGGCCCGCACCGTCCACGGGTCCGCGGTTGCGTGTGGCCTTGTGCCACGCGCTCAGGGACACTTTGGGCTCAGGCGTCCGTGGGCATGGTGATCCCTCCTGCTGCCCCCAGCTTCCCCACCCCACAGGCCCCCACCACCCCTCAGGAACCCACGTCAGGGTCCCCGGGCAGCCCTCCCCAGTCCTGCGCCTCTTTCCAGAACACCCTCTGCTCACCTCTCCTGCCTTGGGCCCCAGCAGGCCCCGTGCCAGGCACAGCTGGGCTCGAAAGCCCTCTTGGCACTCGAGCAACCACCCGGCTCGGATTTCAGGGAGCAATTGGCCCCCAACCCCCACTCTCCCACGGCTTGGATGGAGTCCCAGCATTTTGTCCCCAACACAACGCATGACAGCTCAGATGCAGACCCTGGCTGGGGCCTTTGGATCAGCCTCGAGAGCCACACAGTGGGTGTCCGCCCTGATGCACGGAAACGGCCCTGCAGAGACTTTGAAACACTGCCACGCCTGCCCCAGTTTCTGGCCTAGCCATTGTGGCGTGGGGCCCCCTACACTCCGGCCTCCAGCCACCCCTGTCCCAGGCCGTCGGGCCAGACTCCAGTCCCCCACACCCCGTCAGCACCCAGGCCCAGCCAGGCGGCAGACCCGGGTCCTGAACCAGGGTTCAGCCCCCACCCAGGCTTGCAGCCCTGTCCCCTTCACAGAGGACACACATCCCTCAGAGAAAGCCCAAGAGACCTTTCAGCTCGGCCAACACACAGAGCCTCCAAGTCCGGCCGAGCGTGGAGTGGGGCAGAAAGCAAGAACATGTGACTGGGGTCCCGGGGTGCGTGCCCTGTGAGGGGGAACCACTGTGTCCATAGGGACCTGCGGCCTGGCCTCTCGTCTCTGTGGGCCCGGCACAAATTAGGACAGACACCCCCGGGCCGCTGGGCCCCGAATCCCGCCTGCGTCAGCAGCCTGAGTCCCGCTCCGCTTCCCCGAGCCCCCCTCTGCCGGAGGCTGCTCCCCTTGCCCAGCCCGGCTCTCCCGGAGCCCCCAGGCCACCTCTCTCACCCCGTGGCTTTCACGGGGCACTGCTGAGTGTCTTTTGCCTGGTCACCCCGGAGGCCTCGTGTGCCTCGCACGGCTCCCCTCCTCCAACAGCCATTGGAGGCTACTTGGGCTTTCCTTCTCTGTGCTCCCGGGGCCCGGGGCCAGGGTCCGTCTGCAGCCGTGGTCAGCGGCTAGCGGGACTGGGGAAAGGTTCCGGGGGTTGGGGCGGTCGGTGGTCACAACAGTGGACGTGCAGTATTGTCTCCGTGGTCTCTCCTGGGGCCGGACCCAGGGAACCGGGGGCCGAGGCTGGGGCTGCTTCTCCGCGTCCTGGCCAGGTAGGAACAGAGGCGGGAGCGTGGTCCCCAGGAAACAGGACTGAACCAGGAAGGGGACAGCCAGGAAAGCAGCTCCTGTCCTGGAGTGCCCCACCCGGGTCTCGGCTATGACTCCTGACTCCTCAGCTAGAGATGACATCGTAAGTCGCGGGGCCCAGTAATGTCCGTGACGCATGAAGAAATCGAATTCTACACAGATAAAAAATGCATACGCACCTAGGAAATGTTATTTGGGGGAAGGTGCCTTCTCTCCGTGTCCCGTAGCCTCCTTCATTAACCCTATAATGACGTCACTGTCACAGCTGCACATTTCCTGCCCCAGGAGGTCGGGATCCCCGAGCCCTGCCTGGCTGCCCTCTCTCCCCTCGCACAGGCCTGGGAAGGAATGTTCAAACCACCTCCCGGCTTCCTGCCGGCAGCCAGCAACGCTTAGAGGAAAATCGTGAGCTCGGAGCCTGTTTTATTTGAAAGCCCTGACGCCAGATTGCTGCTAACCTTGAGGGGACCGAGCTGGCGCTGGCACGCCTGGGGATGGCCTCATTTCCCCCTGGGGGCCTCTCACTGGCCTGCACACGGCTTTTCCAAGGCCTTTTCCTCCCCCCTCTTCGACTTCTCATTCACGGCTGCTCCCCACCCACCCCTGCTTCTGCTCTGTGCCCTTCTTACTCCTACAGTAATTTATTTTTGGCCTTTTAGATCTACGCCCTTTTTTTCCCATAAGATTGAAAAAAACAAAACAAACAAACAAACAAACAAAAACAACCTCTCCTTAAGGGCTAACCTGCAGTCGCACTGATGTCCCACAGCCGGAGTCCCTTTCCAGTAATGGGCAGGTGAGCCCGTGGGGGGGGGGGCCTCACTCCTGCTCTGTGTCCAGCACGGAAAGGTCTGTGCTGAGCACCCAGAGCTCACGTCAGAGCCCGCCCATCGTGAATGGAATAATTCATACGTGGAGGGTAGGACGCTTGATCTCAGCTCCGGTCTTGATCTCAGGGTCTTGAGCTCGAGGTTCACATTGGGCTTCATGCTGGGTCTGGTGGAGCCCTACTTACTAAATAAAATAAATAAATAAAACAAAATCTTTTATTTTTTAAAAAAAATTTTGTAAAGATTTCATTTATTCATTTGACACAGAGAGATACAGAGAGTGCAAGCAGCAGAAGGGGTAGAGGCAGAGGGAGAAGCCGGCTTCCTGCTGAGCAGGGAGGACAAGGTGGGACTCAATCCCAGGACCTGAGATCACGCCCTGAGCCAAAAACAGATATTTCACCGACTGAGCCACTCAGGCGCCGCAAAATCTTTAAGAAATTAAAAAAAAAAACAAAAATTTAATATGTCCTAGCCATTTGACTTGTGATGGAGGTAATTTCCACTCTTCTGGATTTTTCCAGGAGAAAAAGAGGATCTCCCTGAAGATGGAAACCCTGGGGTCTGCGGCTGGAGGTCTCCCACAGGTGGGTGGTCCCGCTGTTCCCATCTGCAGGGAGCCCCTGATTGCATCGATCCCAGGCCCCACGCCGCCTTGAGCCCCTGGCCCAGACCCTGCCCCTGCGATGCCCTTCAGCCTGTGGCTCACGGCAAGCCGTGACCAGCCCAAGACAAGGAGGGGTCCCTGCCCGGTGGGGGCGGAGGGGTCACACTCTACAGTCAGAAGCCCTGCCATCAGCCGCTGACAAGCAAGGAGCAGCCTGCCCTTGCTGCTGCGGTTTCTGAAACCACCAGGTACGGATAGCGACCTCACGATGTGAAGATTGTATACATACATAAACATATTTTATGGGAGAGTAGAGACATAGGATACATGGTTCAGACAGCTCTGTGCCTAGAAAAATTCAATAAAAGGTAGGTGCTACTTAATCGAGACTTTATAAAGACAATAAAAAAGTCCTTTGAAAAGGACAGGCTGACGTTGCCCGAGGAGCCGTGAACTCACGGCTGCGTCTTTATGAAGCTCTGATTCAGCCACCGCACTTCTGGGGTGGTCCCCGACGCTCCACCCTCCCGGAGAGGCGATGAAGCCCTCACCAGGTCCGAGAGTGGAGACACTTTTCTCCTGATGCTTACTTGTCCTGAGCCTGCCCTTCCTCTGCGAACCACATCTGTTTGGCTGAAAGCGATGCTTTCCTCTCTGGTGGCTCCTGGTGGTGACCGTGCAAACTTGACTTTCACGGGACGGCACCCAATGCTCAGCCATCCCCATGTTGTCACTCAGTGGACTTCTCCAGCTCTGGCCATCACTGCTCCTAAGGCGACGCACGCAGAGCCAAGCGGTGCTTACCATGCACACCCAAGGGACACTGTGCCCACCTGTCGATGGCCATCTGTCCCCGGATGCCCCTTCCTCTGGATACACGAGGCAGCGGGAGGGTGCATGGAGACCCCAGTCTGGACAGGAAGAAGATGGTGTCCTGGTTACATGCTGTCTGAAAGCAAGACCTCCCTCATCTAGAGGACATCCCGCAAGCGTCCCTGACCCTTGCAGTCTGGCTGGGGGCTCTGTTTTGTGTCATCAGCACACCAGGTCCCGAATGGAACAAACAGACATGAGTGACTCACCGTTAGCCATCGTAACAGGGAAAGAGATGCAAGTCACATCCCCCGACCCTTCCAACTTCTACCTGGAAGTGACTGCCATCATTTCTACCCACGTTAGGATGGACACGGCCACACCGGCCTCCGGGCGCATGGGGACAGCGCTGCCATCCTGGAGCCCAAGAGCGGGAATGCACATAAACACATACCCTCTTTGGGCCAGATCCCTGTCAGAATGATTCAACCCTGACTCCACATCTAGTCTGTGGAAGCCCACGCCTTCACCCCTCTGTCCACAGAATGTGGCATTGGCCTACGACAGCCCAATTTCCAGCAATCCACCCAAACTCTCAGCTTCAGATGTTTCCAGGTGAGTCAGGTAGGAGACTCTCCAGAGACACCCTCCTGGACCGCCCCTCACTCAGCAGGCAGGTTGGGAGGGCAGGGAAGTACTTCTTGCTTCCCCAGGGAGGGACACCAATGCTGAGCACCCTGATTCGCCCCCAGATCATTTCCACTGCCTTCCTCATGTCTCCTGGAAGAAGGGGATGGGATAAGCATAAAACCAGTGTTTAATCCACTGTGTCCAGCCTGTGGGGGTCTGTATATGGAAACCAAGATAGCGGGGAGAGTCTCATGTAAGTCCTTTTCCATTCACAGACCCAAGGGATCGCAGTCCATGACTCCTGTCTTCCAGAGGTTTCTAGAACACTTGGATACATTGGAATCTTTGAATGCTGTCATCACTTCCCTTACCGTAAGCAAAATCCGGGTCAACATCCTTGTTCTCTTCCCTGAGTAACACACAAACGTGTATGCACATGCTCTCGCACGCTCACACGCATAAATAAAATCCCTCCCCCAGCGGCCCACTGACCCACGGCCAGAATTTTGAAGCCATCTCTCTTCTGGGCATTGGGAAGCTGGATTCTGGCACAAAGTCATCCTGCCCAGAAAGTCTGAACAAGGTAGAAATAATGGAACCAGAGCAGGTCCGGGAGACGGTTGATCGGAAGGGATATTTGATCTTTCTCACGTTAAGTGAAAATTGCGCGGTTGTAAACACACGTGGGTACAGACAGGAGCTGGTCTCCCGGAGACAAAAGCCTTTCTGCTGAGTGCGGGTGGACCCTGGAGGCTGTTGGAGAGCAGGCGGACAGCTCGAGAATGCCGTCAGGGGCCACGGAAAAGAATCCATTTCACAGAAGCAACGGGGTTTGGGGCCTCTGATAGCAGACCCATGCGGTTGATGATTCTGGGGGAACGTATCTGGTTCCAAGTTTTCAGGCATGGAAAGCCAAAGGAGACCCAGGTTACACAGATTTAAAATTTGGACAACACAACACAGATGCTTCCAATTGTGGAGACTAAGTGTTTCCCGGAATGGAGCTCACACAGGGATTTATTGCCCCTTGTAGTCGGCAGTACACTCCGCCACGGTTTTACAAGAAACCTCGGGACAAAGCTCCATATGGGCAGAGAATGTGCCCGTGAACTCAAGTCTGGGACTGTCTTTAGCGGCAGACCCAGCATTGTGTGTTCTGACCCCCAGGGACAAGGCTCAGAGCCTGGAGATGGGGGCGAGTCCCCGGCCCATTTGCCGGGGGCCCCCAGATTCAGCATCAGAGGCCAGCTCCCACTCAGACGCGAGAAGTCCGTGTCTGTTCAGGCACTTTTTTTGATCATCGTGGCAAGTCTGGGCTTTTCTCAAATCAGATGGAGCACCTCTGGGTCATTTTCATTAGACTTGGGTTTGAAGAGGCTGCCTGGTCGTTAATCAGGGTAAGAGGGGGAGAGAAACCAGCTACGTGGCTGTTCTCAAGATGAGGTCGGAGGCGGGGAGCAGAGAAGAGTGGACGGTTTCGAGGGGAATCTGGGAAATCAAACCCATAGAACGAAACCAGTGATACAGAGGATGGGTCGGTGACAGCACCTCAGGGAGGGTCCTTTGGGGCACGGTGCAAGGTCCCTCCAACCAGGCGGCCGTGAGGAGTCAAGAGGCCTCAGGACTTGGCTAGACGCAGACAGGGGGCGAATGTGACAAGTGGGTGATGATTGTGACCTTGGCAGTTGAGGTCATCATCGTGGCTGAGAGCAAAGAGGGAGACTAGCAGAGTCAGGGGCAGCAGAGTGGTGACCAGTGAAGCAGTTGGGGCTGGGGTCTGGGACACCAAGCAGATTCATGGCCTGAAGGGGGAGATGCATTCCAGACGGGTCCCGTGAGGACCGAACATGGTGGTGTGTCCTCTCCAAGGACAGACGGCCTGCCCCACGGCTTCCTGCTTTATCTGGTGGGACGGATCCGGTCTCTTGGCTTTCCACTGGGGCTGCCCCTTCCCCAGCCATGGCTTCTACACCCTGTGGCCAAACACCAGTTCTCTCAACCAGCCAACACATTATCCCGCCGTTTTTCCAAATGCTAATCCCATTGTGCGAGGAAGAGCAAATGTGGCAAGAAGCAGCGATGTTAACTCATCAGCTCTTTGGAACGGCTCCTTAAAAAGATGGACGACTTCACCTTTCAGTGATTGAAATCAGCAACTGAACACGGTGCGATGTGTAAATCTTCCAAATTTGAAAGGAGAGAGGAAATCATATTCTGAGACACAAAAACCAAGTATGGTTTTTCTACTTCCAAGCCTTCTGTAATAAAACACACCAAAAATATCTTAAGAAAAATGACTATGAAAGAACAATCCATCCACTAACCCTTAGCCTGCTGTTTTTCCAAATAAAGACCAGCACCATGGATTTTCTATAAGTCATAAATTATTTTGATATTTTTTAGTACTGCAATAACCACATGCATAATATGAGTAAAATATGATGAAAAAATTTATGTGTTGCTCTTGGAAAAAGTCAGATTCTCTACTTGTTTCAAATACAAACCAGTCTTTTTAATAAGATTCCAAAAAAGTCCTATTGAGCTGTTCAACCTGATCTAGCAAAGATAGAAGTAAATTATTATATCCTTTGTCTTCAAAATATTTCATGTTCTAATAGGTCTGTATCAAAGGGGATTAGATTCAAGCAAAGCCAGCTAATTTCAAGCATTTTAAGATGGTGCATGACTGGCGATGTCTAGCGTCTTCCATCTGGCCCGCAGGCCTGCAGAACCACTCAGGAAATCCGCACACCGGGGGTCTGCCATCCTGGCTCCTGAGAATGTGATCGGTGTTGTGATCCTGGAATGTTCACACATTTTAAAAATCAGCCTCTCTGTGTTCAATGTGAGGAAGGACGGAGGGGTTATTTAGTGCTGCGCATAAAAGGGAAAGTGGTTTTGAAGTTAGAGTAAGAGAGAGAGAGACGTTAATATCGTTGTCTTAAACAAAACCAGCATTTTGTTTTATTTTAAGATTGTATTTTTAAGTTGAACTCCCAGCCCCGAGATCAAGAATTGCACACTCCATAGACCAAGCCTGCTGGGCTCCCCTAACGCTTAAGATTTTAGTCAGGTTATACAATCCCCTTGATTATGGAGGTCTGGGACACTTGAATAAGAAGAACACCCTTACCTACATTTCAGCCGTCAGAGCACCGGGACGAGCAGACAAGTCCACAGCGGTCCTCAGTGATTATTGGAGGGGAGGGGGGGCAGTGGATGGGAGAGAACCTTTGCTCAGTGTCACCATGCACGGGAACCCCTCTGGCCGCCCCCATTCATTCTCACAACTCACTGCTGAACTCACTTCACAAGGGAAAAAATTGCTGTCCCTTCTAAGCTGCTTCAGTTCCCTAAAATAGCTACTTGTATAGCCAATAAGTGTAACTGGCAAATCAGGAATATATAAGAAATTCACAAATAGGACTATATGTAATTAAGTTACTAATGTAGAGCTAAACTGTAACTGTGTAACCTGTATGTAACACATGTATGTATGTGTGTAAAGTGTTACATAATTGGTTGCACTCACGGTAAATAGGGCTGCAGAGACCTTGAAGGTCCTCTTTCTGCCGACTGCTTTCCCCCACAGCCACCCTGCAAACCCCACTACACATCGCCCACATGCTGGGAATGTCTGCGCACACAACCATGAGGCGCTCTGAGAAACCGGCCGGGGGTCTGACAGCTCCGGAGCCAGGCACGAGGTGGAACGGCCAGAAGGTGGACTGTGCGGCCATCGGGAAACAGTCTGGCATCGCCCCCGTTGGCAATCTCAGGACACAGCCCTTCCCACCTGAGGCGCGCGAGGAGGGAGCAGGAACTCGTCCCACTGGAGAACTAGGTGCCCGGCAAACAGTGCAGCATTGCTGCCGGACGTCTGGCAGCAGGAAAACTGGGAAATAAAAGGGGACATATTCGTGCATGAACTACATTCAACAACGTTTATCTTCCAAGTGAAACTGAGCAAAAGACGTCAGAAACAAGGGTGTATCGGAGGTTTTATTCACATATGGCTCAGAAATAAGCCTGAGGGACCCATTTGGGGTACATGTTTAGGTAACAAAATACAAGAAACACCAAGGAAATGAGGCTCTCAGAGGCGGGAGGGGTCCACGGGCCAGCACAGCGGATGACCCAGGAGGACCGTGCCTGGACCGTGTCTGGGGGCTCCCGTGGCGTGGCTGGCGTGTGATAATCGCCCGCCACACGGCATGCCATCTGCTTCGTGCCCCGTAAGTGTGCTGTGTTGTGCAGTAAAGGGTGGGCACACACCAGCTCCTGTGTGCACACACGTGTACCTGTTTATGCGAATAGACCCGTTTAGTCACTTGTGGCCTGTGGATATAGGTTTTCTATGTTTAGTTTCCCCAGTTTTCTGCAGTGAACAATTAATACTACAGTGAACGGAAAAGTGTCTCTAAAAAATGAAGGCAAGCAAGCCCAGCTGGGGGGCTGGGGTGGGGGGAGACGCTCAGGCTGGGCTTTGGAGGGGAGGAGAGGTTTGGGCCAGCCAGCATCCCAGGGGGCATGAATGACTTTACCTGTGACCTCCCGCAACCCCTGGGCTAGCCTCCATGTGCAGTGAGCCCAGGACAGTGCCTGTGGTTGACAAGCAGGAGGGTCCCCTGGACACAGGGGGCCAAGGCCAGAGCCCCTCTGTTGGCTCACCAGACCCCGGAGTCCCCTCTCGTCTCCTCCTTCCTCTGACTGTGGAATCCCTTCAAGATGGTGCTTGAACCTTCACATGGTCTCCTTCCAGCCCTAATACCCTTTTCTGCCCCTGTGTTGAGCCGAGCAGTTCCTTTATATGTCCAGTAAGCCGTTCAGGCTGCGGTGGCTTTCCACCCTCCCGGCCACACAGGGGCCACGTGCACTCTCCCTCATTCACTGGGGAGACAGGACTGGAAGCCGCACGCAGCTCAGCCACTCTTTGGACTGCCCGGCCCAGAGCATGGTCCTTGGCAATGGCTTTGGCTCCACCGGGAGGGCTACAGCATGGTGGGGGGCAGGGGGATGGTCTAGTCTAGTGAGAAACCACATCATCAGAAAAAGGCTGCCTCCTGCAAACACCTGGAGCCTTTCCGGCCAGCCCATGACTCAGGTGAGGTCCCCAGTGAGGAGGTCAGCATATGGGATGCCAGACCCCAGCCGGCCTCCACCACGAACACACATTATCCCCAAGAGTGAAGCCAGAGCCCAAGATGCTGCCATTAGTGGAGTCTGGGTCTGGTTTGGTTTTCATTTGGAAGCCCATGAGTTCTCTAGTGGTCATTTTTCAAACCATTCCAGTAATGAGCTTAATACAATTGTCCCCAGTTAGCCGCAGACCTCGAGTGGCAGTCACTAGTAGAAACGGGCAGAACAGTGGTCTCTGAAATTCACATCCTTGTGAGTCAACCACCAAAAAAAAAATCCCAAATCAGTGTATCTTTTCAAGACTATCATTCCCTTCTATAAATTACGCATAAAATGCCGGGATCGTTGGATTCTTCTGGCAGAGTTTGTTTACTTTATCCGTGTATTATGTATTTTCAGAAATTGAATCTTTAATCAAAGTTTTTTTTTTCCTCTCCAGAAAGAGCAACGGGATAGGAAGACGGAAGTCAGATGTGTGGCAACTTGAGGTTATCAGGAGATCAGCTCTTGGGGCACCGGGGTGGCTTAGATGGATAAGCCTCTGCCTTCGGCTCAGGTCATGATCCCAGGGTCCCAGGGTCGAGCCCCACATCAGGCTCCCTGCTCAGCGGGGAGGCTGCTTCTCCATCTCCCTCTGCAGCTCTCCCTGCTTGTGCTCTCTCTCTCTCTCTCTCTCTTTGTCAAATAAATAAAATCTGAGAAAAAAAATAAAAATAAAAATAAAAAAGGAGGCAGGTCTTCCCAGCCTGAGCTGTAAGGTTCGATGCTGTTCCGATCAAACTCCCAGCGACTACGTTGTTGATTCTGACACAGTTCAAATGGAAAGGCAGAGCACCCAGATCACCAGCACAGCTGAAGAAGAGAAACAAAGCCTGGGGATGGGCGTCACTCACCTTGAACTCTAGAACCGCAGTAATCAATCAGCGTGGTACCGATGGGAGAATGGACAAGTAGGTCAGCGGAGCAGGATAGAGAGCCCAGAAGCACAGCCTCGTCAATAGGGTCAACTGAGGTTCGACAAAGGAGCACAGACGACACCACAGAACAACGGTGGCCCCTTGGCCAATGGGGCTGCAACGATTGGAAACAAATGAATCCAGACACAGACCTTACAGCCGTCACAAAAATCAGCTCAAAATGGGTCACTGACCTGACTTCGAAACAGGAAACTGTAGAATTCTTAGAGGAGAACATGGATGACGTCTAAACGACTTTGGATTTGGTGTGACTCTCTAGATACAACACCAAAGATAAGGCGCCATGACATAAAAAAACAATGAGTGGGACTGCATTAAAACTGAAAACTTCAGGCACCTGGGTGGCTCAGTGGGTTAAGCCTCTGCCTTCAGCTCTGGTCATGGTCTCAGGGTCCTGGGATTGAGCCCCACACTGGGCTCTCTGCTTAGCGGGGAGCCTGCTTCCCTCTCTCTCTCTCTGCCTGCCTCTCTGCCTGCTTGTGATCTCTGTCTGTCAAATAAATAAATAAAATCTTTAAAAACAAAAACAAAAAAATGAAAACTTGCATTGGGGGAAGGACGCTGTCAGGAGAATGAGAAGATGAGCCACAGACTGGGAGAAAATGTTTGCAACACACACTCCTGATGATTGACTGGTACCCACAATATACAAAGAACTCCTACAACTCAACAACAGGAAAACCCAATTAAAAATGGGCAAGAGATCTGAACACGCACTCACCAAAGAGGACACACAGAGGGCAGACAAGCTCATGAAAAGTCACTCCACACTCCATGTCGTCAGGGAGCTGCAAATGAAAACGACAAGACTCCACTGCCCCCTATTAAAACCACCCAAATCTGGAACCGATGACACCCAGAGCTGGCGAGGTTGCTGAGCGGCAGGAACGCTCACTTGCTGGTGGCAAGGACGACGGCTTGGCGGTTGCTTAGAAAATGAAGCTTACTCTTGCCGCACAATCCAGTAATCACGCTCCTAGGTGTTTACCCAAACGAGCTGAAAACTCCGTGTCCACACCAAGACCCGCGCATGGATGTTTGCGGCAGCTTTACTCCCAATCGCCAAAGCTTGCAAGCAACCACGATGTCCTTCGCTGGGTGAATGGATAGCAAACTGCGGCCCATCCAGACAAGGGACTCTTACCCACTACTGAAAGGAATGAGGTTTCATGCCATGAGAAGACGTGGAGGAACCTGGAGCGCGCGCTTCAGTGAGTGACGGAAGGCAAGCTGCAAAGGTTAACACTGAACGATTCCAACTCCGGCATTCTGGAAAAGGCACGACTGTGCACACAGTCACGAGATCGTTGGCTGTCAGGGCTCCGGGGAGAAGGAGGACGGGCAGGGGAAGCTCGGGACGCTCAGAGCGGCGGAAACTACTCTGTGTGATTTTATCATGGTGGCCGCAGGCTGTCCCACGTTTGTCTAGACCCAGAGAACGCACCACAGCAACGCAAGGTGTTCAAACAGCAGACGCTGGGGCACGGGGTAGGGGAGGCATAAGAAAATTCTCCGTTTTTCTTTATTATAATTATGCATATACATCGGAGGGATTCGCATCCCCTACCCCGCCTTTCCAGCCATGTCTTGTGGCACACGGTCAGTCCCGCTGTCGCCGCTGCGATGGGTGGGGCTGGGGTTACCTCGGAGCCCGCTCAGTGGGCCGGGGCACAGCTGGTGGAGCGGCCCGTGTGCCTCGCGTGCTGGGACGTCAGCACCGTGCGGAGGAGCGCGTGGCTCTCTCACTGCGCTGACCACCCCAGGCCTCGATTTCCTGCTCTGTAAACGGGGCTCCAGAAAGTTTTGAGGCAATAGCGGAAATCACTGTCCCTTAACTTTCACCTGAAAGTCACACGGTCCCCACCCGAGTTTTGTCTTATTTCTTTGCTAGGATTGTTTTGAATCGACAAAAGCAGCCTGGAGGGCATCTGTCCCTAATCTCATCTGCTGGTTTCAGTAACGCGGGGATCTGCTCCCCATGACCCAAACCACCACAGAGTGCAGAGCGGGGTTTGAATCTGGATTCTGTCCCTGATTCAGGGATTCTGCGGGCCTCAGTGCACCCACCTGTAACTCAGGAAGATGGAGCTTGTGGGCGGAGAAGGGGCACCCGGGTGTCCTGCTGTCCCCGGCATCCTCTCTAAGGAGCAGAGCGCCTCCCCGGGCATCTGGCTGCGTCCCTTTCTCTTCCCCACCCATCCTGCCCCCCCCACCACTCCCATTGGCCTCCGCGGGAGGTCCCATCAGCCGCACTGGGGCTTCTAAATTCCTGAGCTTACAGACTCAAGACTGGAGACCCGAGAAAAGCCATGACACCCCTTCAGAAAGAAGAGTCAGGTGAGCCATGCAAAAAGCAGACAACAAACGCAGTGGGGATTTGCCAGCCGTTCAGATCATACCAGAAAAGCCCTAGGCGGGTGTGGATCTCTCCGATCTGCCCTGAGCCCTCAATTTGCACTGAGGGTGGGTGGGTGGCCCGGGGCCCTCAGAGCAGGCTGGGGATTGGCCGTCCCTGGACTGGAGAGAAAGCCAGCCTCTAGAAGTTCCTCTGGGCTTCTCAGCGTCCCCTGCCTTGCGCACCCCACACTGCCTCGCACACAGATCAGAGGGCAATCCTGCAGAGACACCCCCCACCGGGGGGCGTCCTTCCCTGAGTACCCAGCCTGTGCTGGCTGACCGTAAACACAGAAGTCCAGAATAGATGGGGGCCGGCTCTGCACGTGCGCCCTGGGACACCCGAAGTCCACCCAAGTCTTCCGTGGATTTCCTGAGAGCCTGAGGTGCTCGGGGGGCAGGGAGAACCTCTGGAAGTTAACTCAGCTCTCCGAGCCTGTGTCGCCTTACGTGCTTCCGTGCATGGACGGCCTTGTCCCCTGGACGTTGATTTCTGCTTTCCACTGTCTTGGCACAACTCCCCCCACCCCTGCACACATACACACACAGACACACAGGCACATGAACGCATGCACACACACGCACACACTCACACACATGCACATATAGACCCCGACGTGCACGCTCTTGTGCACACACATATAAGGATACATGCACGCTCACACCCACCCATGGACTGTGTGTAAGCTCACTTGCACACGTATACACGTGTGTGCAGGCTTCCACGTGCAAACACACGCGTGCACACTCGTGCACACATTTATGCACACATACACACCCTGTTCTTTCAGACGGGAGGCACTGCAGCTCCCACATGGTCACACGGCCCCACTCAAGCCACAGCTGGGGGCTCTCAGCCACTGGGCCTCCTGTAGCCCCACACACAGCGCCCATGCTTGCTGGCCCCCTTGCCCAGCCCCGCACCCCTACCGCTCCCTACCCACCTCCTCCTGGATTGACCTGCACACCCCAAATTCTTCTCAATGCAGTGGGCAATCTGGCCTCTCTGGCCCCTCCTCCCAAACTTGTTCCAGAACCACCTTGTAAACACCAGATGTCTGCAAATTCTGGCTCAGACCCTATTACTCCCAGTGCTCATTAAGAACCCCAAAGAGCTTCTGTTTATGTGGGTTACATGTGTTAATATTTTCCATAGTAGAAATTAAAATGGAAAAACCCAAACACTTATCGAAAACATGATAATTACATGTTAACATCAATGACGGCTTTTTAAAAGAAAATAGCATACATTCCCAAGCCAAATGATTTAGGCAGCAGAAGAGTACGGTTTCCCTTTTATGCAGACCTGATGTCTGCCCTGGGAGTCGGCTGGATTCTGTCGGCTCTGGTTTCTGTCTCTTGAGATACTACTTTGGTGAAATGTATACAGAACATCTGGCCTCACGCAGATAAGTACTTAGAAAAGGAAGACTGCTTTTACAGTGTTTTTGGATCATTATGGATTTTTTTCTTTGAGAAGATACCAGAACCAGGCAGTCATGTCTTAAAGTTGAACTGCAGGGGTGCCTGGGGGCTCCGTCAGTGAAGCGTCTGCCTTCGGCTCAGGTCATGATCTCGGGGTCCTGGGATCGAGCCCTGGGAGATCAGGCTCCCTGCTCAGTGGGGAACCTGCTTCTCCCTCTCCCTCGGCCTGCTGCTCCCCTGCTTGTGTCAAATAAACAAATAAAATATTTAAAAGAAAAGGTGACTTGCTAGGTTGCATCAAAATCCTACCGACGAATGCGTCTTGTGTGTCCTGTAAAATCCACCGGCCGGACGGATCTCTTGCACTTTTAATCGATCTTTTCAACTGTGCACAGCTTTGCCACGTCACGCCTCGGTCATTTGCAAAGCATTGATTCGGTGAGTGAAACGGATCTCCCATATGATGGCCCATTTCATTATCTAACAGCCAAAAAAAAAAAAATCCAATCATGTGTTCCGTGCCCCAAAGTTCTCGTCCACGAGAGGTCCAGAATACTAACCTTTCTCGTGAAAGCTTGAGTTTCATCCTTGGCCTTGAAATACTTCTGGGTGTTTTCCTTGAAGCGGAGGCTTTACCGGGTTCATGTTAGAGAAAACCCCCACTGATCGGCAACCAGCGTCACCCGGTCCGGGAAGCCTTCCCCCATGCAAAGACGGGGCCCCTGGCACCGCAGCCCAGAGCGGGAGCGCGTCCTCAGGGTGCTCTGTGTCCTTCCCTTTGGTCCCACAGTAGCAGAAAGCCTGTTTGCGGGGAGGACCCAAATGTAATTATTAATTTCCACTACGTCATCAGAGATCCACGTTTTGACAGGGGATACGAGGCCGTGAGGAGCCCATGCGCCGCCCGGATCCCCGGGAAGTCACCAGCGCCACCCGCCACCTTGGCTTTCGTGTCTGCAGTGAACACCGAACTCAGCCACAAAGGCAGAGAACATGTTCCCGGGGACTGGGGGTGGTGTGGACTCCGTGGTCCCCTGAGGGGCTCTTGGGGAGCCTCAGGGGGTGTGGCCCACGCTCTGAGAACCACTAATGACAACAGGGCCACTGGTGGACCTCCAGGGGTGGTGGATGAGCCAGAATCCTGCTCCCTATGTCCACCTAGACCTAGACAGGAGGCGAGCGCGCATGTTCCTGGAGCACACACCTGGGGCGTAAGCACCCAGTAATGACAGAGAAATCATGCGGCAGGGATGAATGTCATCGGGACCCCATGCACAAGGCGGGGAGCTGTCTGCAGGGAGGCAACCCCGTGGCGCCCTGTTCTGTGGCCTGGAGGGAGAGGGAGAGGTGACAGGGGACTTTGAAAAATAATTCAGAGGCGGGAAGGGTTTAAGGCGTGCTGGGATTGTAAACTGCCTGCCTGCCTCGTTGCTGTGAATTCCAGACGTCCATGTGTGTCTCTCTAATTGCTCTCTTCCTAAAGCACCCGGCCCGGTCCCTGGCGTAGAACTGACACTCGACGGGCACTGGTTCCGGGCACTGGCTACAAAGTGGGCAAGCAGACGTTTTCCAAACACCTGGAGTCAGACTTTGCACGGGGTCACAAATCAGGGACACAGGATCTCCAGAGCTCAGAAGCACAGGAGGCGACCACCGTCCCTCCGGAGGTCAGAGGGACCACGAGCCTTGGCAAGAGATGGGCTCCAGCCCAAGGCTGCCCTGGGGACAGAAATGTCGCTGCTCCGTGCTGCATCAGACGGGCCAGGGCGTAAAGGACGTCCGTGATTCTAGCTGCGTCCGAGTTCCCTTCAACATGAGAGCCGGGGCTTGAACTGCTCTGCAAGGTAGGAAATCTTCGGTAAGTAAAGTATCTGATGACCTCGGCCCTGGAGCTTGGGTGCCCTGTTCTCTGGGCAGTACACTCAACCCTGCGCAATCCAGAAAGTCCACTCAGTACGTCACCGTGAACGTTTCTGGAGAAAGATCACAGCCAGCTGACCTTTTTTTTGTGCACTGAGAGGTTGTGTATGGTCTCGTCTCGGAACTATTCTCCCAGTCCTGCCTGGGCACCTTGTAGAGTTCCGTGCAGCAAAACCAACGCGTCAGGGTGTGTGTGCATTCGTATGCACGGGCATGTGTGCCAGCGTGAGACTGCATGTGTGTGCGTGTCAGAGTGGGTGTGAGTGTACACAGGTGTGCATTGGTGTGTGCGGTGCATGTGTGCGTGGGCATGTGTACCAGTGTGAGAGTGCATGTGTGAGAGTGTGTGGGTGTGAGTTGTACACGTGTGGATTGGTGTGTGCTGTGCACATGGGCATGCGTGCCAGCATGAGTGTGCATGTGTGTGAGTGGGCGTGACTGCACCAATGTGTTGCTAGTGTGTGCATTTGTGTGTATGTCCATGTGTGCCACTGTGAGGCTGCATATGTGTGTGCGTGTGTGAGTGGATGTGAGTGTGCATGCGTGTGCATCGGTGTGTGTGTGGTGCGTGCACATGTATGTGTGAGCATGTGTTGCCGGCTCCACCTCTGCTCTCTGGCCGGTCCCTCTCCCCCCACGCCCGGGGCTCCCAGTCCCTGTCTACATGGCACCAGCTGCTCTACTTTGCAATCTGACCCCACTCTCTTATCACCCACTAGAACCTCCGTTCACCTCCCGTGGGGCCCAGGGCACCCGGCTGGCGAGCCTGGAGCCCTCTTCCCTCGTCCCTCTGATGTCAACCATTGTCCAGCCCAGAACACCAAAAGGACATCACGTGTCCTCTGTGCCTGACCCCTGGACAGCCCTGTCCCGGGCAGGGGCACATGTCGGGAAGAGCCAACAGCCCCCGGGGATCTCCACAGGCCCCCAGGCCCTGAGTGTGCTTGCAGGCATTGCTTGCTTCCCGCCCTGATGCCCCACGCTGCTCTTGACTCCTGATGTCCCCGAGCAGACCGCCGTCTCCCTGCTGCTGGAGCGCGTGCTAGTGAGGCCGTGGCCTGGTGGGTCCAGATCTGGGCTGCCCCCCGGGCCTGGCACTGAACAGGCCTCAAGACGAGTGTGAGCAGGTGCGTGCCTCTGCCCCTGGGGGGTCCCTCTGAGCCCCCAGTCACTTTCGTCCTTCATCCTTCTGGCCCCACTCCTTGGACCGGGCCCCGAGAACACAGGAGCACACCGTGCAGGGCCACGTGTCATCACGGGTGGGATCCCGGGCCCCCGGAGAGCGTCAGGCTGCCGCAGCAGCAGGACGGGAGCGCACACTGCATTTGGGATGCCGTCCGGCCCCAGTCTCCAGGGCGCCGGATAGGGAAGCTGAACGTCGGCACAGCGGACTCCCGACCCCCACCCGTGTGCGTGGCTCCACGCCACGTCCCTGTTTATGACGTGTATCAATCACCCCAGCTCCTGGTGACGGGAGGGGCGAGCCACCGGTCCCGCCACCCCCACAGACCCGGTGGCTTCTCCTCCACCTGCCTTCCCACCTGCAGAGAAAGCCCCCACCCGCTCCGGCTTCTGCACAATTGTTGAGAAACACCTGCCAGACTCTGGCAATAATTAGCCTTTACTGCTCCTCATTAGGACGAGATTGTCAGTCAGCGCAGATGGGCCCAGGGAGGGGAAAGGACAGGCGGGGAGGCTGCTCCCCGTGGCCTGAATTTCTCGCTACCTGGGGCTGCAGGGTCCTGGGTCCGCCCTCGGGTGACGCCGGGCAGCACAGCTATGGCAACAACCGCTGCTGAGGACGTGGAGGAACTGCCCATTCCTGCTGTGGGGCCGGGAGGCGGGACCCACCGTGGGGCTGACCCTGACCAGCGGGCATCTCTGGCTTTCCTTCTGGACAGAGATCTCTTCAAACCAACCCTGGTGAGGGGCTCAGGTGGTTCATCCTTACCGATAAACCCGGGGTCCTACAGAGCCATGTGCCACCCCCACCCCCTGCCCCATGTGAGGGGACAGCGCCCTCCATGGACCTGTGTCCACCCCGCGGCCCACAGGCTCTCACATCCTCTGTACTTGCAGACTCAGACGCTCCTGGGCCCATTCTGGCAGACTCCAGCCCCCCCGGAGGACCCCTCCTTCAGCTGCTCCCAGGACGTGTCCCGTGCGCCACCACTGGAGAGCCATTTTGAACTGTCATTGCAGCTGGAAACCTCTCCCTTCCCTGCTGGTCCCCCAAGGGCAGGGCCCCATCCGATGGCCCCGAGTGCCCAGGCTCTGGTCCCCAGACGTGCTCAGTAACGTCTGTAAGTGAGACCCTTAACCATCCTGCTGAGAGAGGCGCTAGTTGGGCCCCACTTTTCAGATGGGGAAGCCAAAGGCTGAAGCCGGTGTTCCTCCTGATCACGGTGCGAAGGATTGTCCTCGTCCCGAGGCAACGTCCGCCTGGGAAAAACTCAAAAATTAGTCACGGAAGTCTTAGAAGATGAACTACCCCCCAACCGTGCAATCCCGTCCTCGCCATCGGCAAGGTTGAGGTGGTAACTTCCCAGACATCTGTCGCGGCCCCGCATTTGCATGCCGCTGACAGAAAGTGTCACGACCGGGCTAAGAATAAGACGAACACTGAGAACGAAAGCTGGAAACCAGAAGCGGGAGGCAGGCCGGCCTGGGGTTCCTACAGGTGCACGGCTGCGTCCTGCCTCAGTTTCTCGCTGCGGGACCTGCAGCACCTCTGCCCGGCAGGAGGCCAGGGCAGCAACACTGACCCCCGAGCAACAGAGAAGGCAGAGCTGGGCACCCAGCAGCTGTTTGCAGAGAAACCGCCCCTCCCTCCGCGGTGTGCCGGATTGGGACGACCGGTCACGGGGTGGGGGTGGGGGTGGGGGTTCTGTGGCCCCCGGAGCTCCACAACACGCCCACCGCCTCTGGCTGGGGGACAGCCCCCCTGAGGAGTCGCCTGTCCCCAGCTCCTCCGTTACGGTGAAAAGCGGGCGAGGGTAGGGACCCGGCCCCAACGTGCTCCCTGAGCCGCTCCCCCCACGCTCCTTACCTTGCAAGGTTCCCCCCGCCCCGTTTCCTCACCTGTAAAATCAAGAGGGTCCTTGGGGAGACGGAGTGAGATAACAAGGTGCCGTTTAGGACATTGACTTAGGGATGAGCTCAACAGTACTATTGGCTATGATCGTGGTTTTTTTGGTTTTTTTTTTTTTTTTTTTAGGATTTTATTTGCTTATTTGCCAGGGAGAGACACAGCAACAGAGGGAACACAAGCAGGGGGAGTGGGAGAGGGAGAAGCAGGCTTCTTCCCGCTGAGCAGGGAGCTCCATACGGGGCTCGATCCCAGGACTCCAGGATCATGAGCTGAGCCGAAGTCAGCTGCTTAACTGACTGAGCCCCCCAGGCTCCCCGTGGTCTTTTCTAACAGGGGATTTTTGTTCACGGAGCATCTTGCATGCCCTGGGGACAAAGAGCCAAGACCATCGTCCTCTGCACTGACTCGCGGAACTGACCGGCATGCCTCCCCCAGGCTCTGCGAGCGCCTCGAGGCAGGGACACTGGCTTTACCCATCATCACACCCCAGGCTCTTCGGGGTTGCTGGTATGCTGTAGGCGCTCAACTCTGCATGCTGAAGGAAAAGACAAAAGCTTACCCTCGTTGCGTGAAGGGCTGTGGCTTTACGACTGGGGTTTGGGCTGCTGAGTTGCAGCCTTGCTGTCTGGCCATGCTGGGAGTTCACCTTCCTCCTCTTCCTCTTCCTCGGTGGCTCCTGGAGCCCCGAGCCCGGTGCCCCCTTCCCCGTGCCGGGGGGAAGGCAGCTCCGCTCAGGTGTGCGTGGCCCAAGGGAAAGCAAACCATTCCTGGCCCTTTGTTTCGTTGACTGATGCTCCGACTTGCTCTCATTCGTAAGGAGAAATGGGCCCGTGCCTTGTATACACTTGACAGCTTCTCCTGGCGAGCTTCTGTGCGCCTGCACACCGGGCAGCCAGGCGAAGGTGGAATTCTCTCAGGCAGAAGCAAGCCCTGCAGGGACCATGAGGGCCCATCTCAGATGTGGCATCAGGAAGACACAGGTGTCGGAGATACCCAGAGAGATCTGTCCTCAAAGAGTTTACCCGAGTTTGCAGGAAGGGGTGGAGAACAGGATTCCTCCCAGAGGGACCCCCAGGCAGAGCCAGGAAGCTGAGAAGGCTCTGTGCGCTCTGGGACAGAAGACTGGACGTTACTGGAGTCCCCCTGGGTTGTGGCCCCGGGTTGAGCCCTTTGCATGTTGAAAGTACTCTTCACAGATGATGTGCTGCTTGCTGTTCCAGCCAGCAGGGAGGCTGACCCCGGCTCTAACTAGAAGGTTCGCCAGAATAGTCACCACAACTTGGAACGAGCCTTCGTGCAAGGACAGAGCTGCGGGTCAGGCTGGCAGGATTGGAGCTTGGCCCTGGGGACCTGCTCGCTCACAGTGAAGGTTTGTGTGTGGGGATTCTCATGTGGCTCGGAGGGCCCGGCATGCAGGCGGGCATGGCTGGTGTGGCCGGGGTCCTCGAGGGCCAACGGGACAGGGCTAGGCCTAGGAAGTTCCCCACCTTCGACCAAGCTGGGCCCTGGTTCTAGTGATGGGAACCCAGGGCCTTTGCACATCTGGCAGAGAGTGAGGGCTTCATAAGTGATGGTGGGAGGTCGGGTGTGTGGACAGTGGCTGGGCTGGGTTGGGAGGGGGTCGTGGTCTCCACTTCCTGTTGACCTGGGACCTGCATCTTCATCATCGGGGCACCCTCGGCATCTGGTAAGCAGCCTGGGACGGGCTGTGCAACAGCTAAGGGGGTGAATGAATGCATCGGGGCTAATAAACACCCTGAACCCCTTCGACGTGCAAACAATTTTACTTTACTGTCGAAGCAGTTCCCTTACAGCATTCCCCGAGAAGCAGAGAAAGTGAACGGGCCTTAGGACCAACATATCCGGGGTTAAAATGTCACCTGGACATGGGGGGCTGGGTCCAGTGCGAGCCTCCATCTCCCTGCTCAGCTGCACAGAGACTGGGAAGACGGTGAGGGCCTGTCCTCCGTGAGGGGGACACTGGAGTGTCCCAGGCATTGGTAATCCCATTGGAAAAGGTCATTCCAGTGACACTGTGACCCATGTTGGTGCACGGAGCTGCGGGCTTCACACAGCCGGGGGCAGGCAGGGCAGAAATGCAGTCCCTCCCCGGGGAGCTTCTGCCTCCCGACATGTAACACAGTGAGTTCAGACCACAAGGCCCTGGGGGCTACTCCACCTGGAGTTCATGGCCTTCATAAGCTGGGTGGGATTCGGGGTGTCTCTAGTAGGACGGGGGTGAAGAGGGAAGGGCTCCCCTGAACGTCACCTGGGGGAGCCTGGGCCAGGCCCACCCTCTGTCTTCCCTACCCCTCCGTCCTCAGGGCGCCCCTTTGACTGTCTGATCCCAAGCTAGACCCAAGACGTGTCCCCAGAAGCCACACAGTTCATGGGTCACCAGTAGCTCCCAGCAACCACGTTACAAACAACAGATAAATTTGAGCCTCAGGCAGGAACTTGACACATTCGTGGGATACCCTCATGCTTGCAAATGCCGAGAAGCCCTTGGCACTGCGTCTTGGAGAACCGAGGGATCCTCTGTTAAGCCTCTGTGGGCCGGGGGAGGGGAGGTGAGCCGCTCATCATCTGAGCCCGACAGGAAGGAAAGCCTGTGGTCCAGCTTTGCCTTCCCCTCTGACCCTTACCCGAGCCTCGGTTTCGTCACTGTGGAGGGGGCTCTTGCAGACCTCCCCCTTGGAGGACGCCGTGGGGCCCAGGAGGTACGTGGGGACCCAGCCCCCCAGCTGATGTGTCCCGGGGGGGCTTCCTCTGTCCCCTCGTTCTGGGGCCCTCCGATCCCGATGGTGGTTCATGGCTGTCATGGAAATGGAAGAAGGTAAGTCTGCAAATATACAGGGACACAATCATGACCGCCCCCGGGTCCATGTTCCAGGAGGACAAGGATCTTGGCTCACCTGCTTCTAGCCTTAGCACAGGTTTTTCAGACGTGGAATGTGTTAGATGAATAATCACTTCATTTTCTCCTGCGTGAGGAATCCCCGTCTGCCTCACTAAGAACATATGACATACCGACATGTCATTACTGATGCGACCATTCATAGTTATTTTTTTTTTTTTTTAGGGACAGGAAGGAGGAACAGGAACAGAGGGAGCGGGAGAGAGAATCCCAAGCAGACTCCGCACTGATCACAGAGCCCCACGGGGGGTTCGATCTCACGACCCTGAGACCGTGACCTGAGCCAAAACCAAGAGTCAGACACTCAACCGACCGAGCCCCCTGGGTGCACCAGCCACTCCTATCATGAAACAGTTACTTTCCACTTCGTCAAGATCTTGGGTTTTGTAAGTGGTTTTATAAGAGCTTCCTTGAACATAGATCTCTGTCCATATTATTTTTTATTATTTCTTTTGTGAAGACTTGGTGGAGGCTAATTATTCTGTCGGATTTAAAGCTGTAGATACCTGTTCCCGTGTCATTTTGCAGAAACAGAAGGTCATTTTTCTCTCCCTTGAGGGATGGGGGTCCCATAGCTCAGAGGAGCACCACATTTCTGAAAATCTTTGCTAAAAATATAGGGCAAGAAGATGAAGCTCTGTGGTCCCTTTTAATGAGCCTTTCTTGGAATCCGAGAGAGAAGCCTGTCTCCCTGCCTTTTCCTGCTGGGTTGAATTGTCCACGTTCTGGCTGGTCCACGCCACGGTGTGGCCCACGTGGGTCAGTCCTAGGACCTGCCGCGTGAGTTTTTGGGGTGACCAAAGTTTTTGTGTAAGAACCACGTCCACAGTGAGGTGACTACAAGTCCCGTGGCCTCTTCTGTGCCGCTCGCTTCCTACCCACACTTGGCTCCTTTCTGCGGAGGAAGGCCACGAA